CGGGTCATGGTTTAAATTACGCATGACACATACATTTTTTAATTCTTTTGGAGCGATTGTCGCATAAAACAAAAATCACGTGCTCACAACTGCTATTGCTACAATAACTTCAAATGCGTGGCAAAAAAAATACGATTAGCTACGAAATTTTATTGTAGCAATAAATTTGTAGCTATTTGTGTAATTATTGCCACGACACTTAGCAAATATAGCAAAAATGATAAATTAGCTTTGCCAATTTTATTTTGTAGCTAAATATTTTTATGAAATTGTAAATAGCCACGAAATTTTAATTTTTGTGGCTATTGTTATTTATTAGCCACGATTTTCATACATGTAGCTAAGAATTTGTAGCTATATATACATAATGTTGTAGTGTAGGTTTGTTTAAATAGTAGGGCTTTGAAGACCTTATTACACTAAAAAATATATGAAATACACAATCAAATACTAAAAATATACGAATTGCACAATCAAATACATATATATATAGATAACCTATTTCGAATTATATGGGTGTACATTACAAAAAAGGCCGAAAATACGTAAAAAGAAATAAAAGAAAAACTTTATGGGAAATAAGGTTTGATCCTTTGAGATCTTCCATGAATTGAGAAAACAAATATTAAATGGTGTGAGAGAATAATCAAAATTAACTAAAAGGGTATTATGGGTATAGAAATATGCCTGAAATCCTAATTGGGACATAAAATTACCTAAATGATCCCATTTGGGTCAATCGGCTAAAAAACGGTGCGGTCAAAAGGATTTTTCCTAGGTATAGAACAAGATCTGAATCTTTGGGACTGTAGCTTGAGGGGACTATATCAATCTTTCAGTTCTATATTATTTAGGAGGCGTGACATGATTTCACATCAAAAATGAAAATTTAACCTTACCAGCTTAGGAAATATACCCACTGATTGCTTGTTACAGCACATTTTAGCATCAATGAGGGTAGTCTTTTCATGCTTTTGCAAGTTGTACTCCTGTTTCCACACTTTCCTTTTTAAATTTATTTTATCCAGGAGAGGAGGATAAAAGAAGTGGAGAAAAGGAAAGAAGAAGAAAGAAAGAAAGAGTACTTTTACTGAAGTTTGATTTGCCCCCTCTTTTTACAGCCTCTCTTTGCCATATCACATTCCATTATTCATTTGTTACAGTGGAGAAATATAAGAGAGGCTACAGAGCACAGAGAGCCCAAAGAACCTTTACTCTATTTTTCTTTTTACATACTTCACTAGCTCTGCACTTCACTAGTCTTGATAGTTGAAAAACCTTTTAATACTCTTTCTAAGTCCTTTACTTCTTGAATTCCTTTGATGTCAATGCCGTTAGAAGAGCATGATTACACAGGCTTATCTGAGGAGAGTAGTTGTGTTTGTGTTTCCTCAATGGAAAATAATTAGAGGAAAAGCAAAAGAGACTTGAACTTGAACTTGAACTTGAACCTGAAGGCCACTGAGCTTAGACTAGGCTTGCCTGGTTCTGAGTCCCCTGAGAGGGGTTTAGTTTCTGGAGCCAAAAGGGGGTATTCTGACACCATGAATGGTGCTTTCTCTAGATCTGAGGTTGATTCTGCTAAAGGTCACAGTGGGTTGTTGTTCTATCCTAAGGGTGGAAGCAAGATTCTTGGTGCTGTTGTACCTGCAGAGAGTAATCTTCAGCAGTCTTCTATGGCCAATGCTGTGAAAGATCCATCGCCAAGACCAGCACAGGAGAAAAAGCCTCTGATTCTAACTAGTAATGGACATGGGGTTGCCCCAGCCGCTAAGTAAATCTTTCAGAACCTCCCCTTAAAATTAACTACTACAGCATGAAGCTAGAGTTTTTGTGTTCTTTTTCATTCTTTTGTAAATAGTAAGATTATATCTTAACTGAATCTTACCTCCCATGGGTTTGTCTAATTATCTTCTTGAACTGAACCTTAATAGTTAACACTATGGTTTGGACTTCCGGTGTTGCTCGAAAAGTTTTCTCGTCCTTATTTGCTCAACCTTCAAAGAGCTACCATGTTTTGTCCCATTCTTTCAATTGAATCCTCCGTAAGCTTGTTCTGCTGTTACTTCTTTCCTCTGTGTTTAATCAACATGTATTTTTTTTTCCAAAGGGAGAGGGAGAATTGGGGTTTTCAAGTTCTTGAGCTGGCTCTCGGGCTGAGGGTTTTCTAGTGTAGGGTTAAGGTTTGCATACACATTGCCTTCTCTAAGCCCCAAAGCCCCACTTGTGGGATTCCACTGGGTTGTTGTTGTTGAGTTGGCAAATGCTAAATTAGTAAGGAAATTAAGGACCTAGCTGCTCCTGGAACTACATAGTAACTGGAGCTACTTTTGTTTTCTGGTCAGGGCACAGGTAGTAGGATGGCCACCAATTCGATCTTTTCGGAAGAAGTCAATGGTCAGTAATCCTCCCAAGACTGAGGAGGATGTGGATGGTACGTTAGGATCTGCTTGTGTTTATGTCAAAGTCAGCATGGATGATGCCCCTTATCTGAGGAAGGTTGACCTTAGGATCTACAAAAGCTACAATGATCTGTCCTCAGCACTGGAAAAGATGTTCAGCTGCTTTACCATAGGTAATGCCTTGATTACAGCTGTCTGTATTCTTTTTCTTTGCGGCTTAATATTGTAACTGTTGAAGGCATCTCATATGATTGTTTTTTTTTTTGAGGTTCGTTGCGCTGATTAGAATCCTATGGAGGTCCGATGAGGAGCTTTTAACTGGAGATAGCTTTAGTACAGTAGTGCTCGAAACTTCTTTGTTGTTAATCTAGCATGTCCTATTGGACTTTATCGTTATATGTTGTCTTTGAAGTGATTTGCCTCTTGTTTCGTTGAGATATTCTTGTTAATTCCTTCAATCTATATTTCTCCTTTTTTTTCTTTTTTTCTTTTTAACCATGGTGTGCGGGCAGCTTGCATGCATCTCGACTAATTCCATGGGATATCTGCCACTTCCCACCAGCAACAGGTACTAGGTAACTCTATCCACCAAGGCTTGGATAGAAGGGAAGAAATCGCATAGTGTTCTTGTCTCGGCTGGGGTTCAAACCCGAGACCTCAAGCTCTCAACCCACTTCATTTATCACTATGCCACACCCTTCGGTGCAAAGATAAATAGGTATAAAAGCACAAAAAATTCCATGGTAACGTCCAGTTTAGATTATGCTCAAATTGACTAGTTGATCGGACAGCAGGTTACAACCCACAAGCACAAGTACTGGGTAAATCCACCCATTAATGCTTGAGCAGAGGGCCTCAAACGGAGTGTTGTTGCTGTGATTGGAACTTAGATTTCCAGTAGTAAAGTTTGTTACTCCTGTCTCAAGCACTTAGTCATCTCCTTGAGGATTAGTTTTATGATTATTAGCGCTCTCAAGGCAATTAGTAATTTATTTCTGATCTTAAGAACAGTATGTAATATGCTGATTTTTGGGTTGGAACGCCTTGATCTTCTATTGCTTGTAAATCATAAAAAGCATTCATTTTCTAGCTCAAATAAAGATAAGTTGCTAAATGAGGTGGAAGGCAACAATTGACAAAAACTGTTTGCTTGCTGTGATGAGTCTAGGTAGTGAACAGTGTACTTTTTGGTGTGAAATGTTGATTAAACATACACGTGCCTCTTTCTTTCTGCATTAAGAGTTTACTGAATTTCAACTTTCATCTGTGATTAATTCAGGTCAATGTGGAACTGAAGGTATTCCGATTCGTGATGGACTAACTGAAAGTAGATTGATGGATCTTCTACATGGATCTGAGTATGTTCTTACCTATGAGGACAAGGATGGTGATTGGATGCTCGTTGGTGATGTTCCATGGGAGTAAGTTTCATGTCTAATCTGAGTTGTCGGATGATCACTTTCGTAAAGGTCATATATGTTAAGTAATTTAATCAAATGCATTCATCCTATCTTAAACCTATCAGGAGGTAATCTTAAATGAATAAACAGAAATACCTGCGCGTGAAACTTGTGCTTGTCCTCCAAACTTCAGTGTTTCCTGAGAGTTCATATTTCACTGAATCATTGTATCCATCTATCTGTCATGTGTATATATATATAAAGCTTGTGATTAGTGACAGTAAAAAAGGATGGACATTTGGAATTACTTAATATCATGGAGGATTTATGTGTGATAGTGATGCTTGTCATTGAATTATTAGATCCTACATAGGGAATCCTGTCCTGTAGGCCATTCTTTTAGTATGCAGTGAGTCTTACTTGCCATGAATTATTGTATGTAGGATGTTCACAGAGTCTTGCAAGAGGCTGAGGATCATGAAGAGTTCAGATGCAATTGGTCTAGGTAAGTTAAAAGGGGTTTTTCCTTCTCTTCGTACTCAGACAAGGCCTATCACTTTGCCCACTACTATGTGAAAACAAATCTAGTGCTGCTTCTGAAATGTATGTTAATTTATGTTCAGAATAAATCAATAAAACTAAACAGATCTAGGATGAGTCTATCTCATATGATATTTGACCTGCATTTTTTTTTGGGGCAGCCCCAAGAGCCATGGAGAAATACAAAAACCGTTAAACAAGTAGCACTCTCGCTACAAATGTTGCAGGTATCTTCAAGCAAATGGATGATGGAAACTGGAAAGTGAAGTGTCTATTGATATATGATTAGTAGTAGAAGCGTTAATTTGGATTTGAAGTAGTGTACCACGCTTTTAAGTTTGTGTGTATTAAGTCTATATTTGATGCAAGGGAAAATAACCCTCTCATAGAAACATATCCACAAGTATTCTTACTGGTTGCTTCAGCAAGGCTTTTGTCTCTATTTTAAATGGTCTCATCCTATAACAAATCTCTCTATGTCAGTGTGGCTAAAGTTGTCCATCATTTGGCGTTTATTTTCTCCTTTTACATAGTTATTTAATTACCTTGAGGGGTATGGTGTATTTTCTTTTTTATTTTGGACTTTTGTGGATGATCATCCTTCAGCCACTAGCACCCAAAACAGGGAAAAAAAAAAGAAACTCAAAACGATGTATTGTTTTGTCAGTACTCCCCCGATCCACAATAAGTGATCAATTTGTTTTTTTAATTTTGATCCAAAATGTGTCCATTTATATAATCAAGAAAAAATTCAATTTATTTTTTTCAAAATTACCCTTATGTATGTATCTACTCCTCATATTTGAGAAGAGAAGTAAGTGCTACTATAACTATGGTGCAACATTTAATGAAGGGTAATTTAGTCACACTAATTATTTTTGTCTAGAATTTAGTATTTGTTTAATGGGTATGCCCAAAACAAATTAATCACTTATTGTGGAGAGGAGCGATTAGTAAGCAAGAAGAGACAAGTTGCATGTGGTCATGCTACAAAAGATCTCTCTTTAAGAACATATTGCTCATTGATTAACATATTGCTCATTGATTAACATATTGCTCCTCAAATGTGCAGTTGAGACACTGGGACTGCAGTCACTCATTAATAATTTGTTCTAAGAGCAATAAATGTGGCGGGAGCTTACCAAATTGTTATTTCATGAGAAAATTTGACTGCACATCTGTTTTCTGTGGGCTCTTCCGATTATTTGTTTGCAACTAAAGAGATAGGAACTCTGCCACGGTATGTAACCATTTGATCAATATTTTTGTTTAAACAAGAAAGAAATAAAGAAACTCATCTCTCCTTTTCCCTCACTTGAGTGGTAGTTCAGCGTTAAGAGTTGTTAATCTTCCTCTTTCTCACCCAAAAATTATAGGTCGTGCGATGGCGGAATTCCTGGCCTATAGACTTTTGGTGTCACAATTCTGACAGAGAATCAACTAATTCCTGTCCAAGAGTGGAATACTGTTTCAAAGACTGCACCAACTTCAAGTTGAGACGCATTAGGAGATTTACTTCATAGAAGTTAGAAACCTATAAAATAAAAGGAAAAGAAAAGGTTGACAATCGGATTAATCAATTAATTAACTACATACGCCTCAATCTCATATTAGCTAGTGTATGACTGCATGAATTCATTGAACTTTGTAACACTTTATTCATGTCTATTTCATTCCATTGTAAAGAATTTATCTTCTAATGTGAATTAAAAGGTCATTAAATTTTACACATTTTTTTAGTAAATATACCACCAGGGAAGAGTACATAGTGGCTAATATATATAATAAAAAAAATAAAATAAAAACAAGGTCTTTACAATTTGAGTAGGAATAAAACTAGAACAAAACACAAGGAAAACTATGTTTACCATTAAGATGGATAACAATTAAATTTGTACGCGCTTTTAAAGATATGTGGATTGATTCAACACAAGTAATCAAGAATGTTAGATAAACGAATTAAAGATAAAATGAATAACCAAACAAGTTGTGACGTTAAGTCCGGACTCAGATTTAAGCTTAACAATAGTTCTGCCCTCGATCGGACCCTCGATTCGGAGCCAAATGTGTATGAAGAGCTATGATTAAAATAAGAAATTCTCAATAACTAGAAAGCAGAGAAACAAGTTTATATTGCTTTGATATATGTGTTACAATGTGTATCGAATGAAAAAGCTTCCCATTTATATAGTAGGAGAGTTTCATCCCTAGTACAACTCTAAAAAGGTAAAAAAATCCTCCTTTCTCGTCAATTACTGATATGTTACCGATGTCGGGCGAGATTCGCGCCGTGATAACCGGTTGGGCGCGGATATCACGACTTTTTGTTAGTCATGTGCAACCGTTCGTAGTACTTTTCGAGGTTCAGGAGCTCGCTTTGGGTCGGGGGAGTGTTGTCTTGCTAGGCCCGGTGGCAAGAACTTCATTCAGCCCGTGGTACAGGAAGTCCCCGGCTTTGATTTTGATCCCATGCAGTCATGTCTCTGCTTCGTTTGAACCACCGGGTGTCACGACCTAAAACTCAACCTGTCGTGATGGTGCCTATCGTGGAACTAGGCCAGCCTCAAGTCAACGTAATTCAAAACCACAATATTATAATTTTAAAACATTTGCGGAGAAACTTTTATCGTCTAAATAAACCGTTTAGAACATAAGGCAAAATTCATAATACGAAACAACCAGCCCAAAACCATCATGGAATACATGAGCGTCTAGAGAAATAACATAGTCTATTACAATGTTTACTGAATACAACTGAAACACAACTAGAATAGAGAAGGAGGGTCAATGCCTGCGAATGCCATGCAGATACCTCAACAATCTCCAAAACCTGCAACCTCGATCAAGGATTGCCATTGGGACCGAAAGTGCCTGGATCTGCTCACAAGGTGCAGGGGGTAACGTAAGTACACCAACTCAGTAAGTAACAGGTCCAAACTATGAACTGGAGGGTAGTGACGAACTCAACCTCATCAGAGATAACAAAAATAACGTTCAGAAACGTAGGCATGCTTTCAGTTAACTAAGCAGCTCGAAACAGTAAAACAAAACAGGTGGGAACATGGTAAAGAAATATAACTATGCTACATCTACATGCCAATGCACATGCTGTATGTAATGCACCGTGCTGAGTGCAGCATGTACCCACAATCTCATATGTTCATCCACTCAGTACTGTATATGGCCCATACGGCCAAAGGAAGATCCATCCCGGAATATATACACCTCTGAGAGCAGTTACTCAGTACTGAGGATGAGGTAATCCAGCCTATGGAGAAGATATATCTCCAGATAATGACAATAACCTCACCACCACTCGGTACTATATATGGCTCACACGACCTCGTGAGGATCCATCCCGGAATATATACATCACTGATTATCAGTCTCCAGTACCGAGGAAAATAGTCCAGCCTAGCCTAATGGAGAAGATCCAGCTCCATACCAAGGGAAGATCCATCCCTAAATATACTCACCTGCGTTTGCTGGGGGGCTGTGTTACAGACTCTGGAGGGGCTCCTTCAGCCCAAGTGCTATCACAATCATCAACATAACCGCTGCGACATGCAGTCCGACCCAATAATTTTTACTTATAATCAGGCTCTCGGCCTCACTCAGCCATCACTCTCCAGTCTCACCCACGGGCTCACAATGCCATGAAAGCTAGCTCGGAACAATGATATGATGTGCAAATAAATAATAACTGAGACTGAGATGTGATATGAAATGCATGAACATGACCGAGTATGGATTATTAATGAAATCAGTGAGATGACAGCAAGAAATGACCACTAGGGGTCTCAACAGTATCAGCGTAAAGCCCTAGCATGATAACTAGCATGATTTCCAGTCTATTTACTTCATCATATGAAGAAACACAGATATCAACAAGATAAAATCACTATTTGGTGCCATGGGATGAACCAGGTCACGATTCTCACGGTGCACACCCATATGCCCGTCATTTGGAATGTGCGTCACCTCAATACTAATCACATATCACGTAGTTCGGGGGTTCGAACCCTCAGAACCAAGTTTGAAAGAGTTACTTACCTCAACCAAGCAAAAATCCTACTCCACGATGCCTTTACCCCTCAAATCATCCTCCGGATGCTCCGAATCTAGCCATAAACAATTCGATACAATCAACACGAGCTAAAGGAATCAATCCCATAGGGAAATACTAAGCTTTAGGCAAAAGTCAAAAGGTCAACTCAAACACCGAGCCTCGGGCCCACGTCTTGAAATCCGACCAAAGTCACAAAATCAGACAACGCATTCGATTACGAGACTAACCATACTAGTTTCACTCAATTCCGACTTCGAATCGGCTTCCAAATCCCAAAAGTTCATTTTATGAAACTCCACAAATTTCCCCCAAATCTCATCCCAAATTACAAATCAAATGATGAAATCAATGATAGATTCATGATTATTAGCAAAAACCGAGTTAGAATTACCTACCCCAATGATTTCCTTGAAAAACTCCCAAATATTCGCCTCAAACCGAGCTCCCAAAGTCCAAGATGTAAAATAAACCCTAAACCTCGCTTATATAGTGCCTTCTAAACTTCCATTCCATGGTCCGCGTATTTCTCACCGTGGCCGCACACTCCCCATCGTGGTCCGCGTAATTTCCATCACGGCCGGGGGCCCTGAGATATCAACTACCGCGGTCCGCATAAAATTCACTACGGCCGCACAATCCTCACCGCGGTCCGTAAAATCCTGTCGCATAGTACCATCACGGTCCGCGAAATTCCCTCCACGTCCGCACCTCCAAGATCTGAGACCTGCAACTTTCCAACACAAGATATCAGATATTTTCAACTTCCAAAGCCAAATAGTGATCTAATAACCACCCGAAACTCACCTGAGGCCCTCGGGACCTCGACCAAACTTACCAACACATCCCATAACACCATTCAAACTTAGTTGAACCTTCGAATCACTCAAAACAACATCAAAACACCAAGTTACACTCGGATTCAAGCCTAAGAAATTTTAAGTTTCCAAATTCCACAAATGATGCCAAAACTTATCAAATCACGTCCGAATGACCTCAAATTTTGCACACAAGTCACAAATGACACCACAAACTTACTCCAACTTTAGAAATTCTATTCCGACCCCGATATCAAATTTTCCCACTGTCGTCCAAAATCGCCAAATTTTCAACTTTCGCTAATTCAAGCCTTATTCTACCACAGACCTCCAAATCACAATGCGGATGCGCTCTTATGACCAAAATCACCTAACGGAGCTAATGGAACCCTCAAAATTTCAATCCGAGGTCGTTTACTCATAAGTCAACATCCGGTCAACTTTTCCAACTTAAGCCCTCCCAAAAGAGACTAAGTGTCTCAATTCCCTCCAAAATCACTCCGAACCCGAACCAACTAATGTGATACGATCAAATACAGCTGAAGAACACAAAAATGAAGCAGAAATTGGGGAAACATGGCCATAACTCTTGA